AATACAACGGATTTCCCAAAATTGATGTTACTTTGGTAATCTAAAATCTTCTAATGGTTGGAAGCTATTTCGATATGGAAAGCCCTTAAATAGGTATCATTGTTTCTTTAAAAGAAAATATGAATTTTATCACCGATCTTATTTTTCGCGGGAAGGAGAAAGTCTTTTGAAATACGCCCTGGGGGCAAGTACGAACGACATAACTCAACGTGTTTTTCTCAGTTTTCTATTTTAAAAAGAATGAAAAGTGCTTCCTATGCGTATTTTTGCTACCAAATACATCAGAAAAACATTAGAACAAATGGTTAAAAATTTAATTATGTATATATATTTCTGGACATAATATTTTTATATTTCCAAAGCGTTTTGTTCTTTCATTATTTTTATTTTTAATACAAGTGAAACCGTTTGTTTGTAAGGTCATCTATCTATTTTAATGCGTTTTAAATTTATCTTATTACAACGTAACACTTGTTTTGTACTTAATTTAATTATATAAAATCTACATTTTTATCCCAAGTTTATTATTTTTATTTTTACGACAAGGCAGTTAATGTATTGTTAATTTTTTATCTGCTTAACCTGTATAGTTTTGTATTTTTAAGACCTTTTCTTGGATGGAGATGGAGAGTTGGTGTGCGAGAGGATCGAAGTCAAGATAGCTCAAGTGGTAGAGCAGCGGCGTATTTAGCCGAAGGTCGTGGGTTCGAATCCCGCTCGTGACGCTGATTTTTTTATCTCAACCAAGAACTTAGAAAGAATAATTAATTGATTGAATGAAGTAACTTGGTCAATTGACTACGAAAACGTAAATGGATTAATATTTAAATTGTAATGTTTTAATCGTTTTTTATCCAGTTGCACAATAATTTGATATAATAGAGTTCTGAAGGAAAATATCAATATTTCTTGAACAAATTAATGAAATTTTCCTTTCATTTTGGGATCTTTGTTTAGAATGAAACGGACTTTTAAAATCTGAGAAGAAAAGGGATCACATATGATGAAAAAAATTCATCACCGGATCGGCATAGCGCATCAAGTTTTTAAAATTTTACTGTCACCAGCAAATTCTATGCGAAAATTTCCTTTTTAAACTACATATTTTTGTAATAAAACATGCAGCAGAAAAGTAAAAGACCACGTCTTTTATAAAAACTCACATGGTATGTAGTATCATTTCATTCATCATAAAGGAACTCGATCTGATTTGTTTTATGAGCTAAAATTGTAATAGTAGGGATAGATAAAAGAAATATTTTATTTTAATGAGTGTTAACACTGTATCTGAAGGAAACGAGGGAAATTTTCCAGTTTTCTTCTGAGCACAGAAAAGTAGACACACGAAGTCTTTACTAAACTTATTTAAAAATACCATTATCATTAAAAGTACAAGAAGTCTCAAGTTTAGCACTACATTACCATACACTTTAGACCTTTGTAAAAGCCTAACAAGGCGAATACATAAAAAAGATTGAATAAACGCAAAAGGAAGATGAAATGAATAATGGAAAGTGCAGTAGAAAGAGGACGTTTCCCTTTAATGAGGGAGCCCTTGTCGAGAAAAGGGGGGAGCGTCCTTTCCGTCCCTTTTCACCCGTGTTCGACTTCTCCCCTTTGAAATGGAAAATATGTTGTTTGCACGAAGGGGGTAATTGGTTGTTTGTTGCCCGGCCTTATAATGGTTTAATTATGTATATAACCGGCACGTACACCCGGAGGTGACTCTGCCTTTAATCAATTAAACCTTTTGTCAGTTGTGGAGGTAGGGAGGAAGGGTCAAACATAATTTACCTACTTTGACGATTTGGGGTTTCCCAGTTAATTAACCTATTGAGAAATTTGGTTGTGACCACGAAGTGGGTTATTGTGATGTGATAGAAATTACGTTGTATTCTCAAAACATACACACAGTTATGTAATAACACGTTTTACCATGCCTTTTGCGGTTTCAATGTAAAATCAATGAAAATTTTGCAATTACAAGCTCTGGTAAGAAAAACGTGACTTGGTTTATGGCAGTTTTTTCATAGTATACAGGGCTACTCGTGGCACAATCATTACCAGTAGATTCTACATTCAAAATGAGACCAAAAAGTCCGAATTAACTATGATCCGAATATCCCTTTTTCTGATATTTAAGCTTTCTCGATCTTACTTCAAATAAAAAATGGTAACTCCAAAACAGAGGGGTTTTGGACAAATCTGTTGATACCATTGAAAAATAAATTAAATTTTCAATAATCATCATTAATACAAAACTTGTAAATTTTGGAGAAATAATCGTTTTAGTAGCCAGTTTTAATTGACTTTTTTTTCAAAGTTGAAAAACTTACTATGGTGATTCTAAACTACTATTTCCAAATCTAGAGACCAGCAAATTTCACAAAACGTACTCCATTTTATATCTTTTTAGTGGTGTAATTGCTTTTTTAATTATTTTTTCAAAGTTGAAAAACTTACTATGGTGATTCTAAACTACTATTTCCAAATCTAGAGACCAGCAAATTTCACAAAACGTACTCCATTTTATATCTTTTTAGTGGTGTAATTGCTTTTTTCAAAGATGAAGAAATTGATGAAGAAAAAGAAAAAACCGTGTTTGTAGGGTTGGTAAGGTGGAAAGCTTATTAATAATAAATAAAGAATTTTGAATGAATGAACTAGAAACGTTTTAAATCTTAAAACTTAAGATTTAACTCTTTTATTCCTTAGAATAATAATACAATAATCCTTGTATCAAAGTTGCAGTCTTGTTGGTAAATAAGTAACAAATGCGTTATTTCGGTTTCTTACCCAAAGAAAAAACGTTTAATAAATGCATTAATAATTTCCTTATGGTTTTTTTAATCTCTCCACCTTACAAACCCGTCAACCACGGTTCTGATCTTCCCTTCATCATTTTTTCATCTTCGAAAAAGTAATTAAAAAAGCAATTACATCATTGAAAAAGAGATTAAATGGAGTACGTTTTTTGAAATTTTTTTACGGACGAACTAGTGTATTTCTGAAAAATCCAAAAATCATAAATAACGCCCTTATTATTGACAAGAAGACAGGAGTATAGAGATATTTTTCGTTACATTTTGGATACAATAACATTTCCCAGAAATTGGACACATTATTCGGGAATCACCCTATGCAGGATGTTTGGTTACTCGTGTTGCAAACTGCCAGAAGATTCTGCGTTCAAAATGGAAGAAAAAGTCCGAATTACCTATTGTCCGAGTCTCAACAGTTTCGGAGTTATTCCTCTTTTTCTGATTTTTTAAGATTTCACGACCTTGCTTCAAATAAACAATGATAACTCCAAAACTAAAAGATTTTGGACAAATCTGTTGATACCATTGAAAACTACGTTCAATTTCCAGTACGATGTGAACAATACTAAACTTGTAAACGTTGGTGAAATAAGCGTTTAAATACGTCTTTCAAAGATGAAGAAATTGATGAAGGACAAAACCGTAGTTGACAGATTGGTAAGATGAAAAGATGAAAAAAAAGTAGCCATAATGTTAACAAGATAGCAGATAGATACCTAAAAATGTTTTGAATCATAAAACACTTTTATTCCTAGGAATAATAATACAATAATATTTAATCAAAGTTAGAGTCGTGTTGGTAAGTAAATAAGTAAACGCTTGCACGATTTCGATTTTGGACCCAAATTAAAAAACTTTTAATAAATTCATTCAAAAATTCCTTTTTTTTAACCTTTCTTCCTTACCAATCCGTCAACCACAGTTTTTTTCCTTTCATTCATCAGTTTCTTCACCTTTCAATAAAGTAATTAAAAAAGCAATTACACCACTAAAAAGGATATTTAGTGTAGTACATTTTCTGAAATTTGCTGATCTCTAGGTTTGGAGATAGTAGTTTACAATCACTGTAGAATGTTTTTGAACTTTGGAAAAAAATATTTTTCGAAGTTCTGGCTACTAAAACTCTTATTTTTACCAACGTTTACAAGTTTAGTATATATCACATTGATAATTTAACGTAGTTTTCAATGGTATCAACGTATTTGTCGAAAAACCTTTTAGTTTTGGAGTTACGATTATTTATCTGATCCAAGGTCGTGAAATCCTAAAAAATCCGAAAAAGGGGAACAACTCCGATACTATTGAGTTTAGGACCATAGTTGATTAGGACTTTTTGGTTTCATTTTGAATGTATAATCTACTGGCAAAGTTTGTAACACGTGTAGCCGTACATCCTGTACATTATTATCGATTATTGTTATTAGGTGTAAGATAGTAGTTTTCCTCCTTCCCTTCATTTATTTCTTATTTACAATGTAGCACTTGCTTTTATTGCAAACAAAATGGATTCATTATTTGTCATTTTTAATTGATGTTGTGCCTAATTTATTTATATTCGTCTCACTTAATTTGCTGGGTATTGGCTGGAACGAGTATGCATTCTACTATGATGTAGGTTTCTATGTTTATCAGCAATTATCCAGTGACTTATCTTGAGAACTGTATCCTGTGTTTTCCCAGACGCCCGGCCACTTTACACATCCGGAGTCGGCTGTATACAAAGGACAGGTTGTCAATTAGTTGTGGGAAACCTAAACAAATAGACGGCAAGGCTGGAGAGCGGCGGCGGTTTACACAGCGACGCCCCTTCTCGTCTAGTTGCTAACTGGCTGCGGATGGATTGGCGGTTATTGTATGCTTTGCATGCAAGCAAACCGGGACGCCGTTTAATTAGGCCGTAATTATTTGGCCAGGTTCGTTTACAAGCTGCAGCTTTATAAATAACGAAAGTGGGGCACATACTGGAATGGGAAACTCGGACATTATAAATATATCACGATTCAATTAAGCATTTTTCACTCATAATGGTTACAAATTTGGTTTAAAATTCGAGAAAATATTTTACTTATTTTTAACAAATAAATATTACACTGAAAATATTTACCACCAAATATAGATTATAAATTAAATAGAGCCCTTATCTTCCAATAATAGTTATTTAATTAGAAACTAAACGGACAGGTGTGCTCTTCATTATTTTTCAGAATATGTTTGAAGCTTATGTTTTAGTAAGTATTACGTTTTTATTATTATTGGTTTATATATTATATTTATTATTTAATTTTAAAATTGGTTTAGAAAGTTTTGTGACACAGAAAATTGTATTTTNGAGTGACAGACAGACAGACAGAAAGACAAACTGAGAGAGACAGAGAGTGAGAGAGAGAGACGATGATGATGACGATGAAAAACAAAATAGCAAAAGATATAACATGAGGGCTAGTGATAGAATATCAATACCCTTAAACAGAAATATAAAACTACAGTGAGAAAAGAAGATGTTAAGAGAAAAAAGAATGTTTGAAAAAAGGTGGATAGAAAGAGAGCAGTGAAAGGGTGAGCAAAACTAAATAAGAAGAGAAAAGTTGCGGGTAATAGTGAATGAAAAATGACAGTATATTGCAGGTATTAAGAGATAGAAAAGACCGTGAGAGAGAGAAAAAGAAAGGGATAGAGAATGAGAGATTGTGAAAAAGGCATACGTATATATATATATATAAAAATTACGATACTAGAAGAGTAAGAAAGAAACACACAGAATAGACAAATAGATTGGTAGAAATAAAGGAAGATATTAAAGGAAATAAATCGCCAATTGAACAAAGAGAGAGAGAGAGAGAAAAAAAAAGACATAAAGAGGGAGTTAAACAGAGAAACATAGAATGTGACAGACATATAGAGATACAAAAAGAGTGAGGGTGAAAGGAAGATGGAGAGGGGAATAACTATAGAAAAACAACATAGGCAAAACAACACATATAGAAAGAAAGAGGTAGTATAGAATATTTGTAAGAAATAAGAGAAACAGTGTGGGCGATGGTTATATTAAAAATTAGGAGTATAATGACAACGTTTATGTTTATTGAGAATTTTACAAAAATTTAAATAAAATATTGGGATAGCTGAGAAAGGTGTAGGTAGTTGAACGTGAGAGGGAAAAATAGAGATAGATAAATAGATTTAAACAAATCAATACGGATGGAAATAAAAATAAATAAATAGATAGATAGAGAAAGAAAATTGAATTTAAGCGCATTGAAACGCTTTATTTATAATAATCGCTAATTCTTGTCATATTGACATTCTTACAATAAAATCAGAGAGAGAGAGAGAGAGAGAGAGTAAGTGAGTGATTGAGTGAGTGAGACAGAAAGAGGAAGAGAGTAAGTGAGAGAGATAGAGAGAGTGAGAGAGAGAGTGAGAGAGAGAGAGAATGATAGAGGTGAACAAAGGAGAAAGATATATAATAACGAACGAGGAAAAATACAGAGAAAGATATCGATAAATAGATAAACAGATAGAGATAGAATGAAGAAGGTAGAAACAAATTGGCCATAGAAAATATTACGAAAAAAGGGGGTGAAAACGCGTAAGGAGTGAATGCGGACGTGTGTGTGTGAATGTGAGAGAGGTATGTTAAAGAACCAAAAAAATTATGATTTAATGATAGATAGGATGAGAGAGAGAGAGAGAGAGAGAGAGAGAGAAAAGAAAGAGAGAGAGACGGATGGATGGAATGAATAGGTGAGAAAAAAGAAGTGTGAAGGCTAGAAAGAGGGTGAGAGAGGGGTGAGAAAGGGGTGAGAGAGAGAGAGAGAAATAAATGCACAAACAAGTAACAGGAACAAATAACAAATAAAGCAAGAGAGAGAGCTAGAGAGAGAGAAAACAGGTAAAATTTGTTTGTTGTTGAAAGTGTTTTTGTGTGAAAAAGTGGAAGGATAGATTAGAAGAAAAGAAAGTGCTACAGAGGTAAAAATTTACGTGCTCAAAGAATCAATATAGCATTGAAAGAAAGAAGAAATGGATAAGTCAAACATGTGACCAGAGAAAACGGCAATTGATAGAGAAATATATCCATTTATTAATATAAACAATACAAAATTTAACACATCAAGTAAAGTAAGAACTCCTGTAGAAAAGACATCTAAAAATGGAATCGACAAATTCAATAATCCACTACAACCAACAATGAAAATTTGCAAACCCAATGAAGCTGAGATAGGTGGATCTATTTTATCTGAAGAGGCACAACTACAGGCAATTTCTGACATAAAAACTTAAGATGAAAAGAATGATAAATAGTTAAATTTTATTTACCACGCGAGTATTTTAACCATATTTTAAATGTACTTATAGTAAAATGAACGAATTTGAAATATTGCTTGATCAATACAACAGAATTATTTTAAAACTGTGATGAAATAATATATTTGAGTTATTTAAAAATTTAGTTTTATCAAGTCAAGTTCAGAGTTTTTCTCACGACCCAGAATTGTACCTTCCATCTGCGAACTAAATAATTATTAAATAAATAATACCTAGAGGTAATATTTTGGTAAACATTCGTGAATACCTTGCTTCTGGAAAGGTTCCATGCCAGGAAAATCTTTTGCCTCGGAATCCAGAGAGCGGTATGTTGTTATTTACCCGGAATGCCTTCACATTCTGCTCGTATGGAAGAGTTTTCCGGATGTGGCAAATAAGCGTGGAGTTACCAGAAAGGAAAACCGACTCATATATATATATATATATATATATATATATATTACCAGCGTTGTATTATAAATTATTGTTAGCGATATTAACCCTCTATAGAACTTGTTTATTTTTAAAGCAATAAAGGACGCCAGGTTCCTTGCCAACTTGAGCAATTCGTATTTACGTTATTCTTTGGTAGTAAAATATTTAAATGTGAATATTCTAGATTAAGATTGAATTAATTGAAACGTTAGCTACAAATTTCAAAAACCGACGTGACCGAGTTGTTGATAAATAGTAATCAGCGTTTGGATTCGATGATTTAGTTGAACCCCATAGTTTTATGCTGAATGTCCGTGTCTGCATTGAGTTGTTATTTTATTTTCGAGGAATAGATTGTGTAGTAATATTTCTATAATTGTTATCGCGTCCTTTTAAATCTTGTACGGGGATGTCGCTTGTCTAATCTCATCGCAAATTGGAGGATGAAGGTTCAAGGTGAAAACATATGAAACATTATGCGATAAGAGTAAAGTTTTTAAAATTTTGTTGTTCCAAAATTCTTCTAGCCATTTTCGACTATTGTTCAAGGGAATATAAGTGTGTCTGGAGGGTTCGGGGAACTTTACCAGTGTCACGGTGTTAACAACTTATGTTAAGATACTGGCGTCGGGATGGAAAGACGTATTAAAACATACTTGCTTAAGTTAAACATAATCGATGTTCATAGTTGATGTAGTCAGCGAAAATGCCAGATTTTGATAAAATATGACATCTGGAGATGACAGAACAAATCTACACTAATCTGAAAAAAGTACGGGAGAGCAATCGTCCAAAGACCAATAGCTGTATTTTACGTGTACATTGTTTTAAAAGTTCAACAGTAACTTAGACATTTAACCATGGTTAAATCTGGTTAATCTAATGAAATTACTGAGCTGGGCGATAAATATAAGTCAATTTAATAATGAAGTACTTTGTCTTTAAGTTTTTCAGTCCATTAAAAACTTTTCGACTCAGAACAATAAGTTGAGTGAATAAACTGTTTACAAGTACCTTAAATTTCTGTCGAACGTTGTTATTTTTAGATCTTTATATTTAAGCTCGTAAGTACTGATACTTATAACAAAAGTAAAATAATTCCTGTTATATAGGAAGGCATAACCGTTCTGTGTCGTGGACTAGGGATCAAACCAATTTATGAAATTTTTGTCAGGTTATTTTAAAATAAAATTGCACGAGCAATGCTGGGATTCGAACCCAGAACCATTAGAATGGTAATTGTTGAGTCGGACCCTCTAAACACAGGCTTAGCTCGTACGGATATAAATAATGAGAACTCTATGGATTTTTTTTTTCAATTGTTTCACTAAGTAGCTGAACATTGAACTTGATATTCTATGAAATTACAACATAGAAAAAATTGACGAAATTGAGTGAGAATATTTATATACAAATTATTAGAAGAATCATACTAAAATTTCATACATTATTATGCCATTATTAAACTTCATTATTCTTTAATTTGTGTTTATGTTTACAATGAATATTGTAATATAAGTTGTATTTTTAGGTAATTAAATATCTGATTTTTGCTTTGGCTGGATGTGCGACTGCTGGACCTGTTGAAGAATGCCCGATCTTACAGACGACGGACGTCGCCACTCCTTGCCACTTGAAAGTGGACCCAAGCCTCCAGGACGAACCGGTTCCTCCTTTCGTCTACGCGTTGAATCTTCCGCAAAGGACTTCAGCCACCCCCTGCCCGGTGTTGCAGACAGTCGACGTCGAGGCGGCATGTTACGTCCCGCCGAAATCAAGCAACGACCCGGCTTTTGTCCTGACCGTCTCGCTACCTCCTGACGCCGACCATATCGACGATTCCCCCAGCGGAATCAGGAAGCTGAAAGAAGCTCAGAGAAAAGCAAAAGAACATACAGCAAGGAAACCGGCTAAGTTCAGCCAGTCGTCGCCTGAACTCACCCAAGCGGTTTTTCATCCTCAACCTAGTCTGCCGAAGTTCACCGATGTCAAAGAGTCGCCTGATCAAGACTTGAAACTCCCTACCAAACAAATGAGTAGTTTTTCAAAGGATCCCATTTCCGTTCCTGAGTTCGATCCTGAACCGGCATCATCGCCCTTTTTTAACTACTCTCCAAAAGACCAAACATCACATTTATTTAAAATGGACGTTTCGCACTTACACGAGAAAAATAATGGAGGAAAAGCAGTTCAGTTACCTTCAGTTGTACTTTACCAAAAAAAGCCTCAAGACATTTATGGTTTACCTTACCTAAAAAGATAATAATGTAAATATATATTTCAAGTGTATTTCTTTATCCATCTTATTGTAAATAAATACATCCAAAAAAATATTTTGTAAATTCTTTAAGTCACTATTCCACAAGGCTTAGAAATAGTCGTTGTCCATAAAGTAAACCCAGAGCTCCATATGGTACACAGACAGCTCAAAGATTGAAATGATACGGAAATCGGCATAAACGGCTTAACTAAGAGCACCTCATGGCCCTTCAACATACCATTTTCTAAGCTGTATTACATATCAATGTGCAACAATTATTACTATCGGATAGAAAAATAGCTCTAATGGCTACGAAATCAGATTGGGTAACCCGTTCGTCCCCTGGAGTAATAAGAGTTTATGGACTATACACCATGCGTCCGTAAGATAATCAAAGTGCCTACCTGACGCGTCGCCGAACCTAGGTATCATAACGTAGGCCCCGGACGCATGGGGTATGGTTAAGTTGTCGCGGGACGCATGGGATAAAACGCGCGAGATCAACTCTAAAATATTCTGAAACTACATCAATACCCTATCACAAATTGGGATTCACAAATGACCTCTCTCTGAAGTGGGCTCCAGGTTATGAAGAAATTTCAGGTAATAAGCAGACAATTTAGCTAAACGGAGAACCTCAAAACAATACATAACCCCACAACTCATTTTTAGCACAAACTAAACCCGAATTATTAAAGAACTTGATTGGAATTATGGAATTATTAGAGAACACAATAATTCTGGGTACGTATGCCAGGCATGAGACGAACATAAAGATTACTCCGTAAAATAGCTCAATCAGAGAAAGAAGAGTCCTACTCAATAAAGAAAAACTAAAAGTAATAACAGGTATATTTCCGCAACATGCTACAATAAAGTATCATTTAAAAACTGAGCACATTAATATACAGCCCATGTAGCCCATGTACAAATTAATCGAGGCTTGCAGCTTGCTATGCAATCAGCACATTGTAAAATGGAAGCTATGAAGCAGTGCAAGCTGTTTGAGATTTTTTTTAAAATTAATTGGCCGACTCAGCTAGTAAAATTAGGTAGCTTTTGAGTGGGATTAAGAGCATTGATTGTTATAATATTAGCATGCTAGCCATTAATATTAGCATGTTCTATATAAGGAAGTCTAAAATTAATATATGTTCACATTCGACCAGTTTTAATACATTTTTTTAATTTATAAAACTAGACGAAATAATATGTTAAAAGCAATTACTTTATTTCAAAAATTTGAATTGAAAAAAAATGTAGAAGATAAGAAGTAATTTGGAAGCTTGGAAGCAATAATCCTGATAGCATAACATCATAGCACAAACCGACATGAGAAATATTAAAAAACAAAGATTAAAAAACAAAATTTAAGAACAGACAAGTGTAACTTAATGACGGTTAAAAAAAAATCAACACAAATTAAATGTTCATATTTTATTCGATTAAATTTTTAATTTTCTCCTCTTTTTAAGCAGTACACGATAGTTGAAAATTATCGAGTTCCGAAGAAAACATCAATATTACCAGAAAAAATCGATGATTTTGTGTTGAGTGGAACAGACTTGCTTAATGAGAGAAAAATTCATTCACAAAACTTCTTCGAATCATTTTACTTCAGAACACGGTCATTTTATTTTGTAGTGTAACTCTTTCAATTGTAAAAAATATTAACTTTTAATTTTTATTGATATTTTTAAAATTTACTTTTAACAAAAACAGTCATTTTTCAGGAATGAAATTTTTCAAGTCTTTTTCATTTTACGAAATGATTTTTTTTCTTTATTCAAATACTAAAATTTCCTTCGATAATTTATCGTGTAACTGATAGTTATTTAAAATTATATTTACAAAATCAACACAAATTATATGTTCATATTTAATTCAACTAAATTTTTAATTTTCTTCACTTTTTAACGAATTACAAGATAAATGGAAAACTTGCATATCGCAAAAGTAAAATCAATAAATTTTGCGTTTCTAGTATAATTTTTTTTATGGAAAAGATTTTCCAAATAAGTAAGTCCGTTCTATTCCAATCCATCATGAAAAATTAAATTTTCATATTTTAGTCAATTAAAGTTTCAATTTCCCTTTTTTTTAACCAGTTACACTATAATTTGAAATTAACGACTTCTGTCGGAAAACGTTAGTAACTCCAGAACGAATTTTTTGTTTTTTGTTTTATTGTTGGTATTTTTTAGAATGGATCGGACTTTGTGGATTAGCTGAATTTGTATATAGAATTAGATTTGAAAAAATCAACATTATAGAAATCTCATAGCACCAGCAGATACAATACTTACTATTTAATAAAGGTAAGAAGTGATTAGATAGTGATAATGGAGCCGTTTATACATAATTTTTGATAGTCAAATAAGAAAAAAGTGGGTAAGTAAATATTTTTAATATTGAGATAAATTATGTTATCTATACCTATTTTATTGACAAACTAACTAGTTTATATACTTGTTAGCTTTTCAATAAAATCGGAAGCGGAAAAATAAAATGCTGTTTTACAAAAATTCACACGGTACAAAAACTTTTTTACTCGCTCACATTTTTGCTGTTTGTATTCATAAAATTTGGAATATTTGCTGATCCTTAAATGTATATGGCAAAAGAGAAAGCGCTTGAATATTTTGCTGTACAAGACACGACGTTGTTTCGTAATTTTGTCATAAAATATTTTCCATTTTTAACAACAATTTCATTAAACAGTGTGCCATTTTGATAAATTCTACAAACTTGAACAAACCTTACGTGTCGATGTTTCCTTTTTATCGAGAACCGATTAATCCTGGAGCCTTGGCTGGATTAAAACACAATCAATAAATATGAGTGGTGATTCGCCATTTCGAGTGACTGACATTCCTAGTAGCAATCTTGCCACTTGTTGCTGCAGAGCTATTACCCCTCTGATGATATTAGTGCGCTAGGTCACGGTGTAATGTCGTCCTGCCGCAAGTATCTCTGCTAATCGCTTCGTTAATTCCCTAGAACACGGTCTCGGTAGATAAAATGAAAGAAACGATGTTGTTTAACCGAGCAAAATAATCGTGCAAACTGTTATTACAAACGAAAGAATTCTTGTTTAAAGAATTTAAACTGATTGTCTTTTGACTACTGACTAAAAAACTGACAAGCTTTGACTAAATAGAGACAGTTAGGTAATTGAAATTTAATCAAAATTTTTTAAACTATGATAAAATTGAAACTTAGCTTCAAATTTAAATTAAATTCATAGACGTCGTCAACACAATGTCGTGTTGTTTAAATTTTTAGCTTCAGAGAATATCTCATCGTAATTTCTGAAATAAATAGATTTACCGAAAGCTTGGTTGAATCCACACCTCCGACTATCACTCGGTTAACTAAAACTGATTGTTATTCTTTGTGATTTAATTTGAGATAAACATCTTGATTTGCAGATTCAAAACAGGATTTCCAAACAAGGTCATAAACAAGTAATGTGGATCAAATGAGCGAAGGGATTTTATTTGTGTATATATACCACGAGTGAACATCACTCAGTCAGTTGTCCAACGGGCAGGAATGAGATTGGTAAGTGATAGACATTGATAATTTGTTCTAATGTGAAGACTGAAATGCCACATTTTCCATTTTCGTGATGCTTCTAATATTTTATTTAAACAAATTTCTTAATTTTTAAAATATATTTGCTTAAATTTTGGTTTTATACAATTTTATTTTTGAGAAAAGCATTTCTTTCAGGTGTGGCTGTTGGCTGTGCTGGCCCTTTGCACAGGGACGCCAGTAGTAAAAAGACAATCGCTCAATAATGTCCATGCAGAATTACTGGCATTCGATCTATCAAAATCTGAATTTTATAATGATGCTAATTTAGAAAACAAAGCTACAAAGTCAGACGAACGAACCTATTCGACAACAGATTTTCCTGTTCTGCAAGAACAGTCTGAAGCTGAAACGAAGAATGCGAATTCCAACAACCCATCATTTCCGTCAGCTAAAGATGAACGTGACTTTGAAGAGCAAGAAGAAAATGAAAATCCGTCTTCTACGGCTCTACCTCTTCCTCAAGCTACAGCTAAAATTGATTTTAAACAGGAAGAAGTAAAATATGAACCTTATCCTCCATCAGCACCAGATTCAGTAGAAGAACCAACTGATCTTCATTCTGCACCGTATCCACCTGCTTTATCGGCACCACCGTCTCCGGTTTTACCTCTTCTGCCGCCCTCTCCTCCTCCTCCACCTCCGCCACCTCCACCATCAACACCTTTGCCGCAACCACCTACGTCTCTCCCAGTATCAGTTTACATACCGCCACTATCATCATTTGCATCATATCTTCCTACATTACCAGCACCTCCATCACTGCCACCTCCTTCTGCTCCAGCACTAGTTTATGGACGGCCAGTATTCAAAGTTGAATTTGCGCCATACCCGCTTTCATTACCAGCAACTCCGCCTTCACCTCCAACACAACCACTTCCAGCACGAGCGTATGGACCGCCAGTTGTCAAAGTTGTAGAACTTGCACCATATCCCCCTACATTACCAGCACCTCCACCTCCTCCAGCACCTCCTCCACCACCTCCACCGCCATCACCACCGCCACCCCCACAACCACTTCCAGCACCAGTGTATGGACCGCCTGAGTTACCAGCTCCTCCGTCTCCTCCACCCCCACCTCCTCCACCACCTCCGCCACCTCCGCCACCTCCACCACCTCCACCACCACCACCACCACAACCACTTCCAGAGCCAGTGTATGGACCACCAGTTGAAAAAGTTGTTGATCTTGCGCCATACCCGCCTGCGTTACCAGCTCCTCCCCCTCCACCACCTCCGCCTCCACCTCCACCTCCTCCACCACCGCCACCACCGCCACCTCCACCACCACCTCCTCCTCCTCCACCACCACAACCACTTCCAGCACCAGTGTATGGACCACCACTTGATAAAGTTGTTGATCTTGCGCCATACCCGCCTGCGTTACCAGCTCCTCCGCCTCCTCCACCCCCACCTCCACCACCACCTCCGCCACCTCCACCACCATCTCCTCCTCCTCCTCCTCCACCACAACCGCAACCACTTCCAGCGCCAGTGTATGGACCACCAGTTGACAAAGTTGTTGATCTTGCGCCATATCCGCCTGCGTTACCAGCACCTCCTCCACCTCCAGCTCCAGTTTACGGACCACTATAGTAAATGTGATAATGAAAAATATTCTCCTTCATTAGCTCCAATACTTAATGATTTTTATGATTATTCTGAGCTTCCAGGTTTTTTTATTACACAGTTTATGGTAGCCCTGGGAAACGAATGATTAATTTGTAAACATTTACAATAAATTTTGCTGTAATTATTAAAACAGTTTTATTTCAAAAAACCAGTAAGACCTCAAATAAATGTTTGTTACTAAGAATAATTCTAACGTCTCTAATGGTGTTGTTTTAAACATTTTTCTTTGATAAAAACCATTCAGAATTGAAATTAAAGAAATTATTTTTTAAATAACTATTACTGTTTTCTATTTGAATTATAAATATAATATGACTTTGATGGCTGGAACGGCTCAAAAATCATTAATAGAATCAACATCAAGCAAGATTCAACTATATTCCACATGCCCTTCTTTATATAATAAAATTACAGTGGTCTAATAGATTCAAATTAACCAATGCACAATATTAAGACTGAAACACTAAAATTGAATTTGAGGAAACTGTACATCAAGGTGAATCAAAGTGCTCGCCTAGATTAAAGCGGTCTATGATGTTAATAACAGCTGAACATGACTGACGTGACAAAGCAGACGTTCAGACCTAAATTGCGCCAATTTACTTTGATTAATACCACAGTTTGGATCCAATTTCGGAAGCTAAGTCAAAATCGTCATCCTTGCAAAATAAAATTTTAAATATTTCGAAAATGAACAGTTTTGACTTCCATTATTTTTAATTTTGTGGAAACTACGTTTAAATCTAGAGTTCTTGATTAGAGGTACAGTTTCAAGTTGAGCCCAAAAGCCCTGTGGCGTCATGGTTTGTTTGTTTATCATAAACTCCAATTTCGCTGTGTTTTTATTAATTAACTAGAATAACATAGATTTCACATTGGCGGCAACGGCTGTTGTTGACGTATCCAGTACAATAGCGAAACTACAACATTGTGCTTGGGCCAGATATTGAGACAATCGGTGCAATTTCAGACTGGTATTATTTGAACGTTCAATACCCTGACGCATTAACCACACACAATTATACGTTTTATTATTGACATAATTGATATTCGCTCATAAATAAATGTTATTCTGTATAACAATATATTGTTCTCTTTTACAGTTTGATAATAAGCTTTTGTGGAACATTTGTTGATAGAAAATTTGTTAACGTTTGATAAAAATATACTTTTTTTCATTTTGAATTGTGCTATTGGATTTCCCTTGTGTAAAACATATGATAATATATTATGTTTAGTGGTATAATTGACCAAATTACTTCTTTCAATTAATTATTCTTTGTGTGTAAGGTATTGGTTGAAACGAAAAAGCCGAAGGTCGTGGGTTCGAATCCCGGTCGTGACATTAACTTTTTGATTTCAGCCAAGACCTTAAATAAAAGAATAATTAATTGAAAGATATGATAATCTTTTAAAAAATTGAACAAAATAGAAACCATGTTGCAGTGTTATCAATGTTTGTTTTTTATGTCCGAATACATTCAGTCGAGTTTAGACAATGTCACGATTTTTACACGGTAAAAGTAATAGCAAAAGTCAAGTGAATATGTCAAAATTAGTTTTTAAGAGAGCATGTTTTAAAGCTGAAAAAAGAAACGAAAGTAATTTTGAGATTGATACTTCAATAGCAAGATTTGAAAATAAATTCGTAGAAAGTTCTTGTCTTGCTTCGCCCTGCATATATCCCTAACACGGTATGCCGCGATCGTCATATTGTAATTTTATTTTGAATTATAATTTTATTTCATAATATTTTTATAAAATGTGTGGTGTTTATTGACCACTAGTTAATGATTATTCGGAGATCCTCAGATGCGGTCTGGTGTGACGGAGGTTTTAGAAAATATTTTACTTATCGTGCCTACGTTCCGATCTTTATTGAGATCATCTTCAGGACCTGGGATTTACAACCATTGTTTAAATTTAATAATAAGTACAAATACTTTGATTGAATATAAATTTTTTTCGCATTATATATATTCATTTTATCCATATCCCAAATGTATTTGTTAAATGTAAACATTGTTTGTAAATCCCAGGCCCTGAAGATGATCTCAATAAAAGATCGAAACGTTGGCACGATGAACAAAATGTTTTTCTAAAACCTACGCCACACCACACCGCATCTCACGATCTCCGAATAATCATTTTTACAAAACATGAAACTCCAGTGACCAGTTGAAACTAGTGACAAAGGAGTTCAATTAATAAAATGAAAAAAAGACGGGGAAGAGACCGAAGTTGTAGGTTCATTAAAACAGGAATAATATTATTTTAAAATATAAAGGATGGATTATTCCTCTCCGTTACTCCAACTGATATATCTCTTTATGCTATAATTCGACTAAATTTACACAACAAAATAGAGAGAATAGATAAGAAGGAGTCTTAAGAACCCATGGGAAATGGAACAAATGACATTAATTTTATTTTAAAACGCGTTTAACCGGATGCGAAGCTAAGCCACTGTGGCAGTGTTTAATTCCGACTCGGCACCGCTGCCAAATCACCAATTACCCAAATGCGGTTATTTTCCGGTATTAAGGAACGCAGAGCTGGGTCTTAGAGACCCATTTAGCCCTAGGGAATTTATCAACGCTCTCAAGGAAGACGAAAAATTAATTTGCCGCCGCTCATGAATTATTTAAAGTGGTCGGGACGATTACCCCAGCTAACTGCCAGTTAACACTCCACCAAATTAAAGTTTTTTTTTCTCTATCTCAACCACCCTTATTCCCAGAGGCGTTTTTATTTTGTTTACCTATTAAAATTGTTGTTATTTGAAAAATTTATACAAATGCATTGAGTGTTTTAAATTTTAACAATGCAAATATGTTACGTACTTATTAATAAAACACGATGTACTACATGCAGTATGAATAACGTATTAAAGGGAGTTTTATTCTTTAACCCCGCCGTATTTCATATTTCATTTTTAGCAATATTTATGATTGTAACAGTTTCTCATGTGTTGGACGTTTTGTGTCTGTATTGTTATGGGAAGGTGAAAATTATTTTTGGGTTCTTTTCCATTTTGTCTGCTTCAAGCAACTAAGTGTATCTTCAATTAATTGTTAAAAGCGAACAAAATGATCAAAATCTTGGAAAACATCACCTGTTTTCTTTTGTATCAGGACACAAAAGAAGTTCTAGGCAATGGAAAAGCAAACAATCTGGCCGGAAGAGGATCTGTAAGATGACCCAGAAACAATACTTGGGATGACATTAAAAAACATATACTTCTCCATCCGACAGTGGGTAAAAAATATAAAATGAGTGCCTGATCTCCAGAAAGGCTAGACATATTTGCTAAACTCATTATTAGAGTACCCTCACCAAAACTGGCAAACAATTGTTACTATTAGTCCAAGAAAACTCAGGAGATTTACAGGGTTATATATATACCAGTCACTGGCGCCATGGAATACGCGTACTTAACTTTGGTATATTCAATGACACCATAGATAGTTTACCTCCTGACAGCCCTGAACTGAACTTGGAAAAGGAACCATCATCATCATTCTCACAATCATACTCTCTCTCTTTTTCCCTCTTTTATGCGCACCAACTCTTTCTCTCGTCCGCTCTCTCCTTTCTTTCTCACTCTTCCTTTCTCACTAACTCTTTCTCTCTTTCTGCTCTCTCTCGCTAGTTCCATCTCCATCTTTCTCTATATCTCTTTTCCTTTCGCACTATCTCTCTTCTTACTTTCTCCTCTCTCTCTAAATCTATCTCTCTGACTATCTCTCTTTCTTTCTCTTTCTACCTCACACACTCTATCTCTCTTTTGTTTTTTTTCTCTCTCTATCGGGTTCAAGCAACTTATTACACCGCGCAAATTCTTTGGCAATTCCTTCCACTCACTCTTTCTCGTTCGCTCTCTCTCTTTCTATGTCTTATCAACATTTCTTTCTCATTTTCTTAAAAATATTCAATATATTATAAAGCAAGATAGCATAATTTAAATTTACACATTTCACGTTTGAAATTGATTAGTGCAATTTCAATATTGTCATAACGTTTAACAAAACCGCAATATTTGTCGAGTTTGATTTGTTAATTAATACTCGGAAATACCGTGTACGAGATGTACCTTGTAAGCATAATATGCTTTTTAATAGTGCATCTAACGAACTGCTTCATAAAATCTTCCTGTTAATGATGTATGTATAATTGTATAATACGTATAATGTATAATCATCATTAATTTTTTATGACATTTAAGCGCTCAATCTTTTGTTGCTTATACATAATTCCAAATTAAAACAAGAAAAATATGTTTTTTAATTTAATTCTATATAATTTTTAGATTTAATTACAATTAATTTTCATACAGTACTCGAAGAACATAATTTTTTTATATGTAATTTTTTTAACTACAGCAATTTCATTGACTTGCTTGTATTCCATTTCATCTCTTGCGGATTTTTGTTTTTTTCTTTTAAAAAGCGATAATTGAAAAATACAAAGTTTCTATTATAAAGAGTTTATTTTAAGATACCAAAGTGAATTTAAAATTAAAAATGGTTGATATGTTGGGGAAAAAGGGCTAATTTGATAGAATAAAAGGTTATTGTGATGGGAAAAAGTGTTACTTGAAAATGATAAATTTCAAACAAATAAATGTCAATTTAAAGCTGAAAAGTATTAAGTTAAATTTAAAAAGTGTTAATTTGATGGTAAAAAATTATGTTGAAGTTTAAAAAAATTAAATTGATGCAAAAAAAAGTAACTCGAAATTAGAAGGGTTAACGTCAAATTAAAAAATTATAATTTAACAGAAATTAACGGAAAACCTTGATTATTTAAGGCAAGAAACTATTTATATTATTATTTTAGACTATATTTTTCATAAAGAACCCTTTTTATTATACCGTTATAAATTTCAATAATTTTCTGTTACTATCTTATTACTTTTTCTTAAACCCTGGAAACACAACGGTCTAAAATTATTACTAGAACATTTTAAAATTTATCATGTTAAAGTATTGAAATAAATCTAAATTTTAACAGTTACACCATAAAAAAATGTTTCTACGGACATCGGTATTTTTAGGGAAAAGAAACTTGTCCGAACGCATTTTTCATAAATCTTCGTTTATTAAAACAAATATGGTTGCGACGATGGGGTGAAAACGGCTCTTCGCAATCTTTGACCTTGTTAACTTTGTTTAATATTTCAAAGAAGGAAAAGGCAAACATGTCCCGGCTATAAATTCAACCCTTTAAAAGGGAAACGTATAAAAATGGACCGCTTCGGGAAGCTTTATATTGTATTTTATTCAGTGTTTACGATCCCCACTCGAGCCGCACGGATATTCTTGATTTGTTCCCTATTCTCTTTGAAAAGAGACACAGAATACCTTCTAATTTATTAAGCAAAGAAATATAACTTTACCGAAGTTAGTCAATTTTTTTTCAACGATCGACTTTAAATGTGTCCAGATGAAATATATCCATACCAAAAGAATTCATTGTGCAATCAAAATGGAAGAGAAATATGCATAAATAGGTGAGTGAATGATAAATATTTCAAATGTAACTAATAAAATCGATATTTTACCGAAACCCGAAAAGGGTAGGACATAAAACATAAGTATGCATACTTCACGCTTATTGTGTATTGTATATTGTCATGTAATTAAGGGACACATATACAGGGTGTTCGTCTAATCGTGTCACAAACTTTGCCAGTAGATTCTACATTCAAAATGGAACCAAAAAGTCCTAATTAACTCTTTTCAATTAATTAATATTTAAGTAAGATATTAGTTGAGATAAAAAAGTCAGTGGCACGAGCGGGATTCGAACCCACGACTTTCGGCTAAATACGCCGCTGCTCTACCACTTGAGCTATCGTGACTTCGATTCACTCGGACACCAACTTCCCATCTCAACCCAACCTTTTCAATTTTCCCTCTTTTTTGCTATTTTTCAACCAATACCTTACTTAAAGATTAATTAGTTTAAAAGAATTTATTTGGTCATTCGGAAACCTAATGTGTTCTAATTAACTAAGGTCCGAATGTGAATAGTATCGGAGTTATTCCCTTTTTTTCTGATTTTTAAGATTTCACGACTTTGAATCAGATAAACAATGAAAACTCCGAAACTAAAACGGTTCGGGCAAATCCGTTGATACCATTGAAAGCATCGTTAAATTGTCCATAAGATGTGTTAAATACAAAACTCGTAAACGTTGGGGAAATAAGCGTTATAGTAGCCAGAACTTTGAAAAATATTTTTTTTTCAAAATTCAAAAACTCACTACAATGATTCTAAACTACTATTTCCCAACCTAGAGATCAGCAAATTTCAGAAAATGTACTGCACTAAATATCCTTTTTAGTGGTGTAATTGCTTTTTTAATTACTTTACTCAAAGATGAAGAAACGGATGAAGGTAAGGAAAAAACTGTTGTTGACGGACTGGTAAAGAGGGAAGATAAAAAAAGAAAATTTTGAATAAATTTATTAAAAGTTTTTTAATTTGGGTCCGAAACCGAAATAGTGCAAGCGTTTATTTATTTACTTACCAACACGACTCCAACTTAGATTAAAGATTTTTTTTATGAGGGTTCGCAACAGCAGAGGACATATAAACCGTCAGTGCGCCGGTGTTTTTGAAAAAATCCCATCTGTAAGTATGTCCTTTTAAGTATTTGTAATCCAGCTGCCCTGGATTCGAACCCGGAACCTTTACCTTAAAGTGATGGGCGCCGTGTCAACGCCTAAACCTTTGCGGCCACCGACGCTCCTATTAAATATTATTGTATTATTATTCGGTTTATTCCTTCATCAATTTCTTCAGCTTTGAAAAACGTATTTAAACGCTTTTTCACCAACGTTTACAAGTTTAGTTTTGTTTACATCTTACTGGAAATTGAACGTAGTGTTCAAAGGTATCAACGGCTTTGTCCAAAACCTTTTAGTTTTGGAGTTATCATTGTTTATTTTTCATTTATCATCGTGAAATCTTAAAAAATCAGAAAAAGAGGAATAACTCCGAAACTGTTGAGACTCGGACAATAGTTAATTAGGACTTTTTGTTTCCATTTTAAATGCAGAATCTGCTGGCAAAGTTTGTAACACGAGTAGCCGAACACCCTGTATAGGGTGATTCCCGAATAAAATGTCCATCTTTTGGGAAATGTTTTTATACCGAAAATGTTACGAAAAATATCTCTGTCAATACGAAAAAATATACCCCTTTCCGCTTGTCAATAATAAGGGCGTTATTTAAGATTTTTGGGTTCATCAGTAATATACTCGTTTCTCCATAAAAGCAAGATGATTTTTGATCTTTTGAAGAAGTGATCATACAATAAATTCAAACTTTCCGCTGAAACACTGATTCAATTTCTATTAAAAAACAATCTCAAGTAAGTTCTTCTTTCATTTTACATTGTAACAGAAATAATGCAACATTTGAAAAAAAATTCATTTATTCACAACGGAAACAATTAATATGAATATTGTAATAATTTCAATTTTAATAATTACATCATAATAAAAGTTAGAAAACAAAAATGTAATGTCATCCGCATAGGTGGTAATGATGGTCTTGGAATGTGAATGAAAATTATCAATATAAATGGTATTTAGGAATGGACTAAGAATGCTCCCTTGTGGTACGCCTGCTTTTATCGGTTTGACAGTTAAGTAATCATTCCCGCACCTCATTCTGAAGGAGTTCCTACATGTATTGATACCGCTTGACAATATATTATTATTTAAATATGTACAATACATCGGTAATACAAAAATATCTTTAGAGACATCGATACATATACGTGAATAAAAATATAGCATTATGTTTATTTGTCATCTTTTTCTTTAATTTTGACAAATTTTATCATATTTCCATAGAAATTTATCGTATCTTCCTAATTATATTACTCTGATTACCTAACAGACAACTCGTTTTGGTGTTATATCACTTTTATCCATAACTCGATTCTCGGTAAGAATTTTCCTGTTCTGTGGAAAAATCCGTCATTAAAGGATTTCCTCTTATAAACATCAAATCGGCCAATTTATTTTATTGTCAATTTCTTTAAAAACATCTCCTCTATCATTTGCAATTCTCGTTATAAATAGATTAAATTCACTAATTTCGTGGTCCGCTTGACCAATTAATATATTACAATTAATTAAGATTTTTGGTTGAGATAAAAAGTCAATGGCACGAGCGGGATTCGAACCCACGATCTTCGGCTAGATACGCCGCTGCTCTACCACTTGAGCTATCGTGACCTCGATCCACTCGGACACTAACTTCCCATCTCAATCCGGATCGAGGTCACGATAGCTCTGTGGTAGAGCAGCGGCGAATCTAGCCGAAGATCGTGGGTTCGAATCCCGCTCGTGCCATTGACTTTTTTATCTAAATCAAAAATCTTAATTAATTGTGTTATAAATAGAGCATGATTTAACTTTCAGTGGTTGAAAAACCGAAGAACTTCTGTATCTGGCACAACGATATTTATCTAAACAAGTACGACGTAGATTTTTCATGTACTGTTATTTGTCATTCAAAATATTTTAAGAAATTCAAGCAATTCTCATAAAATAATTTAAAAAATCACGGACATAACACAAACGCTGTATATATTTATAAAATTCTATAGTCCTAGGTACCTGAACTATCCGCTGTCATGCCCAACATTTTTTTTAAATTTAATATAATTATTGCAATCTGTAATCTTATTTTCAACGTAATGAGTTGAATTTAAAAATGACATGTATCATATGTCGAGAAGGGAGTTAAAAACCATTCATGTTCTCCCAACGTCGAGACTAATCCTCGTTTAGTAAATCGCGAGGCCGTCTCCTCAGTTATCTAGTGGGATTATAAGGGTGGTTTCTGTTGGATAAGGATTGGGCAGCTTGATTGGGATAAAAAACAGGATTTATTGTCGCATGGGAAAAATGTTTTGGGGATTATTTTTTGCACGGAAAGAATTTTAAGGTCATTGTGAAGGGTGTTGATGGCGACTAGAAAGGAACTTTTATTATGGCTCTGAGGACTTGCGATTGGAAGGATTGCATTATTCGGATGTTTGTAGGTTTAGTGGTGCCCCACAGTTCTCGGTCGTACGTCCAGATTGGTTTTAGTATTGCATTGTAAACTGTCAGTTTGTATTTTGCGTGACATTATTCCGTAGAAACGTTGTTTAATGCTTGTCGTTTTACTAGTTTTGGTTCCAGGTAAGTCTTGAGTCTAGATAGAACTCAAGGTACCGGACGCAGTCATTTTAAGAGATTGAATATTATTATGTAATAACGTATGAGTGGTTACGCTTCGAAGGGTAATTGATAGGTGCTTTTGCTTTGTTTAGGCTTTATACGTCAGTGTTTGCTCCATTCGGTTATTTGTAGTACATGTGCCTGGATCTCCTGCCCCAACCCTACGACCAAGTTTGACGAAAATACTGTTTGCATGCGTCGAGAGTTCCTCATTTTACTAAATGCTTATTTTATCCTTCCTTAACTTGCACCTACGAGAATTATTTTTGTATGACCTTTGCTTCGTGCTGTCAGTAGAGCCTTTGGACCAATTCTCCGTGAACCAGTGACCGACGACCTTCTTAACATGTATGTTTTTTGGAACCGGTTGTTTAATATTTTTTGAAGTAGTGAAAAGCGGTCAAGAATGAGGTAGTTTATAAAAACACCTTTTTCATTTTTCCGACGTTTCGAACTTTATTCGGGACATAAAAAAAGTGTGGTGCTATCCTTGTGATGTCATATTGGTTTTGTGTGAAATTGTTTTGGGGGTCTTTCTTAATCTACTTCCGGTTGGCGAGGCTATTTATATTTCTTCGACCCCTGTGAATCAACGTTTTTGATACTTTTCTTCTTTTAAGCCAACCTTTGGCGTGTAAAAGCTGTTTAACATTAAAAAATCTGAATAAACTGAAATCATAAAATGAAAACTGGAAAATTGGAAAAAAATAAGATTGGATGTGGGAGGAGAAATTAACAAATTCCCTGTTACCGGGCGTCTATGCTAACTAAGAAAAAGATAAACATAAAACTAATCTGCCCTGTCCACTATTCAGAAGTGTTTTGTACGAGTAGGCCTTGTTCACACGGGAGTCATGAAGAGGCGCGCCGAGGTATATCTTTTGAAAAGTAAAAGTCTTGTACCCGTTTTTATTGACTTTTAAAAGCTTTATTATTAATGGTATTTATGATAACTCACATCCAATTTGTCCCCTAAAAGATCTGGCTGAGGAGGAGAACGCACTGAGCCCCAAAACGCATTGCAATCTATTTTTAGATAAAGAATTTTAATAAAATAGTAAAAAGCACAAAATTGATAAATAAAACCACCCTGCATCTACAATAGAAGAATCAGCAACAAGAAAAACAACCTAAAAAAGAAATATTAAAAATGTCGACACGAAAAACTACAAATGGAAATTGGTGAGGATGGCACTAACATACTGGCGACTAACTGATGGCTCTACGTCTACTGTTTTCACGGTAGAACGACACAACAGTGTCATCTTTTTTTAATTTCGAGTGTCACGGCAGCCCATCTATAACTATTTTATAAATGAAGTTGTTCTCTAAAAAGAGAAGACAAATTGGCCAATAATATTAACTAACCAAATCCTAATATTTAATTATTTTTAAATATAATATGCTCCACCCTCCGCACAAAAACATTGGTGTTGGGTTTGCGCTTTATTTATGTACATTGGTCGTTTTATTTTATTACCAACAAAATCAAACGTTGTTATTTGTCCAGGTGAATCAACAGTTTTTCAATCTAATCGATAATTCCTCCTGAGGGGGTTGGATTCTGGGAAATTTGATATCGGTTAATGAATAGAGATTAAACCAGTCCATTAGTATCGAACAAAAATACAAAGATATTCAGTTTCCGAATAATAGCGATTACTAAAACTACCTTTCCTCTTCGGTCGTACTGCGGCAAAACAATGGCCACGGTAAGCTTCATACAATCGCTGACTAAAAAATACTAACTTTAATATATATTAACATTTAATATTGTGCAAATATATAATAGTGTTTAGATTCAAAACAAACTAAACATTATGATTTGTAAAAACAACGTTAAACATTATTAGAAATGTGTGGTGATTAATGACCGTTAGTCTATGATTATTTGGAAATCGTGAGATGCGGTCTGATGTGACGTAGGTTTCAAAAAACATTTTCTTTTAAGTGCCACTCTCAACACGACACGCAAGAATGGTACAATTACGCAGAAAACAAACACTTTGAGCCCTGAAGATGATCTCGATAAAGATCGAAACGTAGGCACGATAAAGAAAATGTTTTTTTTTAAGCCTACGTCACATCAGACTGCATCTCACGATTTCCAAATAATCATTATTCGAAATATTTCCTAAGGGGATTTAAGCAAACTTTAGGAATAAGAGTGATTTTAAATTATCAGTGGTTACCTAGCCTTTAATCAATTTTGATTTCCTTATCAACAGAATGCCAACAACAATTGTGTAACTACAGTATACTTTAACCCCACCGAGAAGCAACAAAAGTGGCCACCATTAATATAATAATACTAATTATCCCTTAAACAATCCTTCATTGATTATCTTACAATAATATTCGATCGTTTTAAAGGATTAGAGTAAATAAAACATAGATAAAATTTCCCACTTGTGTTTATCATTGGATTTTGTAATTAAATGTTCGAATAGTCAATCATTTCAAAGAGACGATCGTTTTATTGTTTTGAATGTACTCCGTAATCGACATTCCACCACCGTTGTGATCAAACAACGAGTTCAACAAATAAGAAATGTTAATTTCAGTTTAGACACAATAAGGGAAAGTTGTTCAGAAGCTGGATTACGTGCAAGAAGGTCTGCTGGTCCACAACTTCCAGCAAGGATCGGTTAAGTTTCACAATTAGTCTGAGCAAGACTGGACGAAAATCTTGTTTTTAGATGAGTCAAGGTTTTGTTTGAGGTCTTCTGACGGCCGAGAGAAGGTTTGGAGAAGAACAGGAGAGGATTTTCAATCTGGAGATTTCATGGAAGAGATCAATAACTGTTGCGCGATACATTGAAGATTTATTAGCAAAAGTTGTTCCTTATATCGCTTCACTTCAATGTTTGAAATGGCCAGCATATAGTCCCAAATTAAACCCTATCATACACTTTTGGGACGAGTTGTCGAAGAGGGTAAAAGTCGCCCAGTAATGCCAGAGAATTTGCAACAATTACGAATGGCGCTGTTGGAAGAGTATGAAAATATTCTATAGCACTACATACAACGTATAGGCTCCAATCCGCACATGTACGTACAAACATGTCCCCAGTTGAGGCTATTGGTTTGTCGTAGTCCACCGGTAATTCCAGCTTTTGCTATATATAGTTAATTGCTGGAAGACTTGAAAAGACCCCCTCGGGAGTTGGAGTGTCTTATCTGTCCAGCCACCGAGGTTGGGCTCCGGGGGGTTGCTGTCAACAGCTAGGTCAATTCAGCACCCAACACTTTAGTCATTCAGCATGCAGTTCCAAACCCATTCTTGCTCACGTTGATTCTTAATACATTCATTCCTATTCACATACCATTCATTCAATTCGGGTTATTCCTTCATCACCCTTTACCCATATCATACAACAACCTAATTAAAGGTCGATATTCCGCCATCGATCTACTCTTATCACTCATTCACGCTAATAAATACATTCACTTTCAACACAAGCTCGGTATTCACACTCTTGACGATTATTACTATATACAATAGAACAACCCCGTTTCATCAAAGAAGTATATAATAATCAATAACAACTGATAGAGACTATAATTAATAAATAAATTCTGTGTTTCTCTCTCTCCTCTCTCTATCTCTATCTATCTATCTATTTATCTCCGTTCTTCTCTGTTCTCTTTACTCTATCTTCATTAATTTTTCTCTTTATCCTTCTTTGAGTTTTTTCTCACCTCCCACATTCTCTCTGTTGTCTCTCTCATTCTCTCTATAATTCTTCCCAAACTTTTTTCGATAACAGGCAACACATTTTGTACCCACTTTAACTCTACCCTTCCCTCTATCAACTCGTTTTTATTTCCAACTCCGCTTTTATAAAACTACTCATAATTTCCCTCTTACCCTTTCTCACGCTTTTCTTTTGTTCCTTTTCCACCTTATTCTCTCACTTTCGCATTACCATTCACTTTTTATATTTCGTTACTTATATTTCTCTCTCAATGTATCTCTCTCTCTCTTTTTCACTCTCCCCAATATACTACAATTAGGTGCAATTATTCTTTCTAATTCATTTTACGATCGTTCACTGGAACATTTTATGTCTTTTTTTCTTACTTTTTCCAAACTTTCCAACTCTCTATATCTGCCTTCGCTTTTCTCAATCTCCTTTTTGTTTATTTCTTTATATCTCACATTATTTATGTTAGTCTCTTTCCCTCTCTCCTTCTGTCGAATTATCAATTTTTCTCAACTTTCTTTCAGTAATAAACGACAGTTTCGTAAGAAGCTACTTTTACTCACTCCTTTTCAATAACATTCCGTTTTTCCTTGTCTGTTTTTGTCACAACCCAAAATTCCTCTTCCTTGTGTGTTTGCTCCTCCTCCACGTTTTTTTAAATTTATTTATTTCCTAACATATTACATGTTATTTTATAACTAATATTATTATTATTATTGCAATTAAAATTATATTCATAATATTTTACTAACAAATAATTTCACAAATCATTAAACTTAATGATTGTAAGATATTACAGTTCATTAAAGGTAAATCCTTTAAGTTAAAATTCGTTAAAGTTCAATTTCTTCAAAAAGTTTAAAAGGTCAGAAATATTTTCCTCTTCTACCAAATTGGTGTTGGCTGGCCATGAATCTCCGCTGCAGGTCACGTGCCGCAAAGATCCTCCACCTTATACTTTCTATCTGGCATTCTCTCTTATTCTCTTTATATGTTTAGATATTTCACACAAAACACACACCCACACACACATATATACATTATCTCTCTCTCTCTCTCTCTCTCTCTCTCTCTCTCTCTCTCTCTCTCTCTTTCTTTCTTTCTCTCCTTCTCTGAAACTCTCTCTCAACTGAAAAGGAAGTAAGTTATGTGATAAACGTAATATACATAAGATAATACGTAGGTTCTGTTCTAAAAACAAATAAATCATTAACAAATGAGTTTTCTGTCATTTGAAAAAATTTGTTTGGAAATTTTTTTTAAATATTGCTGAATTTATACAATATCGAAAAATAATAAACAACCTCAGTCTTTCATTTGTACATGAATTGGATGAATAATTCATGTAGGATGTTTATGAGTTTCGAAATACGGAATCGGCCGTCATTAGCCCCGGCCATCGAAGGAGCCGGCTGGAATTTTAAATCTCGCCTTTCGAAAATGTCGAACACTTTTCAGGTTAAATCCGAAAGGGTTTGAGAAAACACGTTGGGATTCTGCATGGCGTCTTTGAAATCCCCGGTGAAAGGCGATGGGATTAAGATGGATTCGTAATAAGAAAAATCATTATTCCTCTCACCTTTCTCAAGGCACAATTCGTGCTTCCTATTTTCAATAATAATGAACGCCCTACTGATTTGAAACTGGAAACGTCTGGCCACATATTTAAATATGAATAACACCGTCGAAATTTAACAAGGTAAAAAGCTTTGTTATTACATAAGTACAATTCTTGTAAGTTACTAGCACGTCTCTCGATATAAACTGTTAAATGAACCCAACGGTCCATCAGAAACGTGACGTTCCAATGAGAAGCTGGTTTTAATGCCGCTCAATTTTGAACCCGAATTACAGTATAATTATTACCATATAAATGTGTAAATATTATCAGATTAATACTTTAAGAAAATAACTGTAAATCAGAGATTAATTTGTATGTCATATAATATTTAGGTGTATGTTTAAAATAGGAGGTAAATCAAAATTTATTATATTATTTATGCATTTACTTCCGTATTTAATTTTACCCATTACAGTTCGTGGTCTGATTGATCAATTAACATTTTTCAATTAATTAATATTTGTGAAAGGTATTGGTTGAGATAAAAAAATCAGTATCACGAGCGGGATTCGAACCCACGACCTTCGGCTAAATACGCCGCTGCTCTAACAATTGAGATATCGTGACATCGATCCACTCGGACACCAACTTCCCACCTCAACCAACCATTTCAAATTCTCCCCCCTTTTTGCCATTTTTCAAATGTCGTGTAATCTATTCGATTCTCGGCGAAAAATGAGCGAAGGAGAGCTTTTAATGAAGATATACTTCATTTTACTGATTAAATCCATTAGAGTTCGTGGTCCGATCGGCCGACTAACTTTTTTCAATTAATTAATCTTTACGTAAGGTATTGGTTGACAAAAAAAAGCCAGTATCAGGAGCGGGATACTATATCTGGATCGAAGTCACAATAGCCGGCGTATATAGCCGAAGGTCGTGCGTTCGAATCCCGCTCGTGACATTGACTTGTTTTATCTCAACCAATGCCTTACGTATAGATTAAGTAATTGAAAAATTTTATATTTTTTATTCCAAATTTCTCAAAATATTATTATTTTTTTATTTTATTCCACTACTCATCAACTTCACAGAGTTACATATTTCATTATTTCATATGACGAGCAGAAACTGTATGCGGCTGGAGTGTTTCTAGATGTTTTTCTGGCCTTCTACCAAGTATGGCATGAGTTATTATTACATAAATAAAAATTATTCTTACCCCAGGCCTACTATCTGATTATACTGGTGATATTATATACCTTAAGGAAAGATTTTTTGCAGTAATCCCAGGATCGCTGATTTCTGAGATGGAAAAACTGCTTGCAGTTGTACCACAAGAGACAATACTCGCTCCGCTGTTGCACACAATTTTTACTTCTGATACGCCCACAAATGAGAATACACTCACCGCCTTATTATCACGTCATCCCTCTTCTACACAAGTGTCAGTTACCTTACAAATCAATTGACAAATGGAGCAATCTTTAGAAAACAAAGTTTAACCCCTCCAAGTCACAACATATCACCTTTACACTCCGTCGTGAGACTTGTCTTATAGTTATACAATAAAATTGTTCCTCGATCCGACAAAGTTAACTATTTAGGATTTAAATTTGATACAAGGCTAACTTGCAACCGACTCATACTACACTCAACAAACGATTTAAAATTATTTACTACCTACTTAACGGACAATCAAATTAACAATTAAATCAACACTTTCGACATATACATACCTACTAGTTGCAAGCTTATGAATCGGCCAAATTTTCCAATATGCAAAGATTACAACGTTTTCAATCCAAAATTTTAAGACTGATTTTTTCCCCTTTTTACGTAAACAATAACACATTTCATAGAGATATTGAAATGCCAATAGTTTTTTTATCCATCAAACCATATGACAGACGTTTTCATACTAACACACAGAGCAATTACTCCATCCTCCACAATTACCACGTGTAACCGACTGAAAAGAATATGAATAAGAGACTTGTTGAATAATTAATATCACTTTGTTAATACAGAGCGACTAGCAATGGGTAGCTTTCTGTATAACGTCCGTAATGCCACAATCATAAATTCAAACCCAATCTGCTAGTTGTATATCATACATGTATAGTTGTATATAAAAATAAATGAAGTAAAAAAGATTCTCCATCTATTGGGTTGTCCGGAAAATAATGCAGGATTTTGGTATTAAACAAAAAAAAAAGAAACTAGTTACTTTAAAGCAATGTTCTTTAATCAAAATAATTTCCCATACTCTCAATACATTTCTCCCAACGTGTTGGTAACTTATTANTGACATTCATACAAATGAGTAATCCTGTAAACGTAAACAGAATATTTTATATAGATTTTTTTTAATGAAAACTTAAAATCCTGCATTATTTTCCGGACAACCCGATACTTCCCTTCCATTGTTGAAACTATGTAACACGGCTGCATTTAAATTTAAATTGTGTTTTGTTTCTTTTAAATGGTCCTTAAATTCAGAAAATTAGTTCGATTTAGGCAAGTATTTTAACTCTCGTTTTAATTTCTTTACAGGTTTGTCTAATGTAATTAACATCATAATTATTAAATATATTAGACTCTGCATTTTGAAAAATTGTCAACCTTTTGTTTATGTCTCGAGGGGATATTTCTAAGTAAACACGCGCCTCTAAAAACTACATCAAACCCTTCAAAATAATAAAAGAAAAAATCAACAAATAGAATTTTAAAAAATTTAAAATTAATTTGCACAATTATTCTAGTATGTTAGGTAACAAAATCAAAGTAAAGTGAAGAATTTTCAAGTATTGTAAACAAAAAACATCATAAAATCATTATAGATATTGATCAATTTACAAACCAGGAAATAAAAAAAGTTATAATTAGTGTGAAATCGCTGGCTATTGGTCCAGACAAAATCCTCATAAATTTTATTAAAAATAATAATTTTTTCTTATTATTACTCATGTTTTGCAGGATTATTTAAATCACAATGTATGTCTTAATCAGAGGAAAAACTCATATTTCACTCCACTTGTTTAAAAATCACCATCAAGTGATCCTGGCTGTTATAAAAAAATAATGTATTAAAGACATTTGCAGAAATATTTGATAAAGATTTATATAAGTAAACTAAATTTATTTATGAAAGAAAAATATTAAACATTAATAAATTTTGATATAAAAAATATCATTATGAATCAAACATCTATCATATTAGCTCTAATAAAATTATTAGATTATGCTAACAAATAATATAAATAACAGCAAAACTTTTTCTTTGTTATTGTTCTATCTGTCTCTTTCTATTTTATTTTCCCACAATAGCTTTCTCCGTCTATTTTTTGTTTCTCCTTTTCTCCTTCTTTTTGTTGAAAAAGTTGTAAGTTGATGCAAACTAATTTAATTACTACTTCCAAAAATGTTTTCAAACTTGCAAGCACGTGGCTGAAGATCCGAATATTAACCTTAACATATTAAGTTATATATAAAATTTCAGTTCATTTTAGCAAATACATTTAATTGTTTTTAATTAATAAAAATAGGAGCGACACATAAAACAGTGTAAAATAGCTTTAATGTAAGGACGTCAAATTGAATGTTCTTACATAGTCTTTCAATTAATTAAGGTTTTTAGTTGAAATAAAAAAGTCAGTGTCACAAGCGGGATTCGAACCCACGACCTTCGGCTAAATACGCCGCTGCTCTACCACTTGACCTATCGTGACTTCGATCCACTCGGACACTAACTTCCCATCTCAACCTCACCTTTTGAATTTTCCCTCTTTTTTGCCATTTTTCAATTAATTGTATTTTGCCTCTTAATTAATTGAAAGATATTAATTGGTCAATCGGACCACGAAAACTAGTGAGTTCTTACTTAGGTTTCGTCTTGTTCAGTTGATGCAGGGTCATATTTATTGTTATAACATTTTTCCCCCACAAACTCATTATGTTTACTCAGTTCTACTGTTTCAACAAAGGCTTGGCATGGCAATTAAAACCGGGCCGGACACATTGAGAAACAGTTGGTGCCAGTAAATTTAATATGCTCAGTCTGTGGCTCTCACGTTGGGGGTACAAAGGGCAGCTGAGATGGTGCATTATTTAAGTAAGACCGACCACTCTCGCGATTACACCCTGTTAAGTCTTAATGGGGAACCGAGCAACGTGAATTTTGTTTAACTTTCTCTGGAAGGCCAATGGGAAACGCGGCTGCGTTAATTCACCGTTCTGGAAACCATTGTCCGCGTATCCATTACGTGGCTAATGGAATGGGTAATTTTATATATATAATTAACAACTTTCTGTGAAGTGCATAAATGAATAAGGAAGACGAAGGATTAATCTCAAGGCTCAACAAATGGGCACCATTACCACTAACTTACTATTATACAGTTATTTGTTATACAAATATCAATATTTGTTAATAAAGTTAACACTATAGAAAAGGTAGTTCTATTTTTAATGTGTGGTGTTTAGACTAATTTAAACAATGTTTATAAATCCTAGGCCCTGAAGATGATCTCGATAAAGATTGAAACGTTGGCACGATAAAGAAAATGTTTTTCTAAACATACGTCACTCCAGAACGCATCTACGATTTCCAAATAATATATTTATAATACTTTCATTTTTTTATTATTTTAAAATCATATGCGCTTAATTACTATTCTGAATAAAGTACCTCAAACGAGACTTGGGATACACTCCATCTCTCACTCACTCACTCTCTCTTTTTTCCTCTATTTTTCTATATCTTTCAAGCATTTTGCTTGTTTATTTTTTTTTTGTCTCTCTTTCTTATTCCTACAGCAAATTTCAATGTCGTCTCTCTATCTCCCTCTCTCTCTCTCTCTCACTCTCTCTCTCTCTATCTATCTATCTATCTATCTATCTATCTATCTATCTATCTATCTCTCACTTTCTCTCTCTCTCTCTCTCTCTCTCTTTCTTTCTCACGCACTTCATCTGTTTATTTTTTAATTGTCTTTCTCTTTCATCCTTTATTTCAGTGGATATCTTTATCAATCTCTATCAAATGTGTGTATGTCAACTTAGTTGTTCTTTCGTTTTCACTCCATCTCTATTTTAATTTATTTCTCTATCACTTCGTCTCTCTCTCTCTCTCTCTCTCTCTCTCTCTCTCTCTCTCTCTCTCCTTCAAATTCACGTTTTTCTCTTTTCTTTGTTTCGCCCTTCTATTTGTCTTTCCTTCTGTTTATTTTTTCTCTTTCTTTTTACCGTTTATATTCCTCTTTTGCAATCTTTCTCTTTCTCCATATCTTTAAATCATTCAGCTGTCTCTCAATCTGCTTTCTTTTTCTCTCTCTTTTAGAATTAAATTTACGTTAAGAATTATCATCATCTTGCACTTCCTCTCTTCTTCTCTCTGTACATAAGTAAAAACATAACTTATAAGTTCAATTTACTCTCGCTTTATTCATTTACTTCATTGTCGATTTTACAATAATTTGTTATTTCTATTTTATGTCTGTTGCGACTGTAAACAAATATTTTAATTATAATTACATGTTAAGCGTAACATAGGTCTTGGAGACCTAATATTTGCGGGTATTTTAATAAATATATCGTTTTCTCTCTTTCTTTCTCTCTCTCTCTCTCCTCTCTCTCTCTCTCTCTTTCTTCAAATGCCGGGCCGCTGGATTCGAACTGGGGACCTTTACCTTATAGTGATTAGCACCGTATCAACACCTAAACCGTTGCGGCCACCGACTCTCTCTTTATTACCAACTTTATAAACTTTTCCCAACTCTTTTCATATACCAACTTACTTACTTTTATTTCTCTCCATCTATTTTGCCCCGCTTTTATATTACGTTTATATTTTTATTCTCTCAATCAAATTATTAATCTATTTCTATTTTCTCCATCGATTTTTTTCTTCTGGTTACCTTGCTGAGACTCTGTTTTTCTTTTTACATAAGATACAACCGATGAATTAAAAGATATTAACCTACCTCCTCTATTATTTCAGCAGAAACTTGGTTAAAATGTGCCCGTTGCTGTTAAAACGTGTTTTTAGAAATTTAGAAATAAATATAATAAATGTTTTAATTTTTCGTCGTTAGTATAAACAAGTGGATATTACTTTGAATATAAATTCCAAGTAGAACCATTTATTAAACAAGAAACACCACAATTGTGTCGAAAGAACCCTCCGCTCGGAGCAACGACGTGTTTCACCCCAGGGAAAAGGAGGAAAAAAGCGTGTTTTCCAAATTGTAATATTCATATCTGCAGCTTTAATTTTCTCTCGCCAACCCCCGGGATAAAAATGCGGCTAACCACGATTAAACTGGCACTACGCTTTAAACAATCCCCGTATATCTTCGGCGCGCTGGAGCAAAATTAAAGTTCGCCAGAGCCGAATTAAGACAAAAGGGCTGCTATATTACATTGTTCTCTTGTTTTCAGGTTGTTTGTGCTTCATTCTTGTTAATTTGGGCTGTATTCCTGTGCCACGCTCCAGCGGTCAAGTTGCAGAGAAAATCGCCCCCCTATTCAATAAGGACTCTGGAACATTATTTCAACAGGGACACTTTCGGAGGATACACATTCAAGCAAGTATCAAATTTACAAATCTTGTAGAAATTGTTTAACGATGAATGGATCAAAAGGAATCGTTTTCGCCTTAGAGTAAAACATGAAATATCAAATAACAAGCCCAGATTCAATAAGATCATACATTCCTTTTGGCCTAAATTATAAATGACTATCACGTTTCTGTATTAGTATAACAATTATATATAATCGGCAAGCATGTTTTATATTAATATTGTAATAAATTCAGAAACTTAATTATTATTAATAGCTTTTTAAAATGATTATTGATTTACAACCGTGAATGTTTATGAATGGTTTATATAAAATATCAAAAGAGTTGTTCGAATAATCCATCACATTTCGTCATGTATTGAAACAGGATAAAAAGAGTTTCTAATGTTATTTAAAAGTTTTACTTGCTACATCAATCAATCAGTGGTCAAAAACTGCTATTCAAAAAGCACACTTTTCTTTTTTTTTCATCCACGCCATACCAACATAGCAAAAGTTTTATTTATATAAAAAGGTTATTTTGAGGCAATTATGAACTGATAAACACAAATTTTATCAATCAGAGCTTAAGTGTTTATAATTGATTAAATGCACAAACAACTCAATAGCCTCCTATATCTGTGCCCTAAGAACAATATAATTATAACTGAATTTTATGTGAAATAACAATTAACTGAAAGGTTTAAAGTTAAAGAATTTGAAATACGATTGAAACGACTAGAAAGATCGAGGTCAGGACCGTAGTTGGATTTTTCTTGTGTTCTCTTGTCCAAGATATCTATCTACCTACTACCTTATCCTCAAGTCCTACCATGCCGACCAATATTTCTGGGTAACATGTGGTTCTTCCATACATCCTGTCCTTGCTTGTTCCCAAGGTTGTGTGCTTGATCAACTCCTGTTCATAATAAATACTCCTGACATACATAATCACCGAAATACTTCCTTGTTCACATTTGCAGATGACACAGCAATCCTGTCACACAAAATGTATTTGCCGTTCGTACCTTCCAGCGTTGAGCCTTGGCTAAAGAAGTAGAGGATAAAAATAAATGAGATTAAATGCCAGTACATTGTTTCACATTACAAGAAATCTTCCTTCTGTAAACCTCTACCTACGACAAACTGTGTTCGCTACTTAGGACTATACCTCGGCAAACGCTTCACGTGGAATCCACATGCTAGACTTAAACGACAAGAACTCAATGGAAGGCAAACTTCTTTCTCATCTCTTAAATGGACGATCCAAACCATCCCTTAACAATAAAATACTACTCTACAACACTTTACTCAAACGGACAAGGCCTTACTGTATGGAAATAGCTCAGCCAAAGTATCCTACTCCTTTTGAATCCAATACTTCCAGTCCAAAACGCTCCTCTGTATTGCAAATGCTCCTTTCTCGATGTCCAGCCGAGCTCTTCATCATCAAGGTCAACATCCCTTATGTTCCCAACATTATCAAATGAAGATACAACAAATTCCATTTCTCACTCACTGGTCATATCATTCCCTTAGTAACTCAACTTTACTCAACCATACTTCTTGATACTCCACAACGCCGGCTGAAACGCCGATAGCCTCGGATCCTCAACTCGGGTAGTCTACTAGTAAGATGGGACAAGGAATGCTTAGGTTACTTACTTCACTATTGAGTGACATCTCAACTCAAGACAATAGAAGTCTCTATGAACAACGTATTTGCTTGTAGGTAATTTTAGACTATACAGTTCAAATAAAACAAAAATAAAATATCAACAATATTTAAACAACATGAGAGAGAAAGGGAAAGAAAGAGAGAGTGTGTGAGAGAGAAAGGGAAAGAGAAAAAGAGTGAGAGAGAGAGAGAGAGAGAGAGTGAGAGAGAGGGTGGGAGGGAGGAAGTGAGGGAGAAAAAAGGAAAATAGTAAATTATGTCGTACGGTTAGAAATTACCAAACAGATAAAGAAGGCAAACGTAGTTAGAATAGTAGAGAGAAAATAATAGTATACAGAATGAGTGGCTAAGAGAAGGAGTAGGAAAATGGAAAATTAATTAACTTGATAGGATTAAGAATTAATGTACAAGTGAGAAAAGGAAAAATAAGTAATGCAAAAATAGAATGAAAGAAATATAGATAAATAGATATATAGAAAAAAGAGTGAGAGAGAGAAAGAGATAGTCCTTGATATACAGACGAATATATCTATTGATACCTAGATAGGTATATTAATAAAGAAAGAAAGTGATTTGTTTAGATTTTTTTTTTTTTTATGATTTAAACTAGTTTAATCAAACTATTTTTTATAAAAGAGATGTAATAAAACAATAATGAAGGGGGGCTAATTTTGAAGGGGTCAAAAACGTGATGCAAATAAATAGAATTTTCACAAAGACCATGCTACACACTGATCAAAAAACCTATGCCCGATAATAACTAAGCAGAAAAAGGTAATAATAAAATTATGTATTGAAACTAGTCATTGTAAAATAAATGAGAGTAGAGTAAATAAAGTTCCTTCGAGAAAGTGCCACGGAAGAGAAAAAGACATCCTGGAATGACTGAACAATGGAAATTCTTGATTGTTAAATAATTATATTAAATAAACTTAAAAATATCATTTTTTGCTTAAGTAATTGTAGATAAGATATTCACCTTGCTTCATTAGCTTTTGTACTTATCGCACAGTCATTCCAGCATAAATCATTCAAATTGTCTGTAATCATATTTTCAAATTTATTTTTATGGGTGTATCTTTATTAACAAATAGAACTGTTAAAATTGCTCTTGCGTTGAACACGGGTAAAACGACCTAAACAAACCCGATGAAGATTTCTTTTTGTAACCCTTATATGGCCTATTCCCAACCTGGTGAAAACGATTCCTCTTTTCCATCTTAGGTTCTCGTATGCACCAGTTTCTTCTGTTACCCGATTCAAGAAGCTATAACTTATTTTCTATATTTTCAGGTTCAGGAACACGGACGGCACCAGCCGTTACGAGAACGCGATATTCGTTGGCGGAGTGCTGTCCGTGATGGGTACGTACTCCTACAGGGACGGAAACGGAGATCTCCAGACTGTGAGATATGTCTCGGATGAGAACGGCTATCGCACCGTGAAGTGTGACAGGGGTTGGAGGAGAATGAGAAAGGGGCCGCCTGACTCTTTCATGAACCCACGTCTCGGTGCGAACCGCTGAATTATTTCTTGCAACTTTACCCATACGCAATCTCGCTCGACTCGAGAATAATTTATTAACTAGTTAACTTCCCTTCTCCTACCAATGAAATAGTAAACGCTTCTTATAAACTTTGGCCTACGGCAATTTTCTCTGAATTTTTAAACTTTTGTTTCCAATTTCCACCCTTTAATGACAGAGGGAAATTGTTTAAACGGCTATCCTTTCCTTACTCTTCAATCAAAAACAACAAACAAAGATCAAAATTTTACATTAAACAAAAAGCTATTTTAATGAATAAATGTTCAATTGATATTTTTTTCATTCTATTGCTGGGTTTATAATATTGTACACAAAAATTGTTGTATGATTGATATTGTCTTCTGCATATAAATGGTTACTTTAAAAAATCAAATACATTCCTACATTTTTAAATCCCTAAAAATAGTTTCAACGTAACCAATTCTTTTTAATTAATTAAACTTTAAGTAAGGTTTTGGTCGAGATAAAAAAATCAGTGTCACGAGCGGGATACGAACCCGGGGAGCGTGGTTTTTATCTCAACCAATACCTTACTTAAAGATTAATTAATTGAAAAGAATTTATTTAGTCAATTGAACCACGAAACCTACTAGATTTAATAAGCAGAATGATGTATATTTCATTAAAACTCTCCGTGGCCATTTCATTTGTCTCCGAGAATCAAATAGAATACACGGCAGTTGAAAAATGGCAAAAAGGAGAGAAAATTCCAAAGGTGGGGTTGAGATGGGAAGTTAGTGTCCGAGTGGATCGAACTCGCGATAGCTCAAGTGGTAGAGCAGCGGCGTATTTAGCCAAAGGTCGTGGGTTCGAATCACGCTCGCGACCCTGACTTTTTTATTTCAACCAAATCCAAGATTAATTAATTGAAAAGAACTTATTTGGTCAATCGGACCACGAAATCTAAAGGATTGTGAACTATGTTGTTTCTGTTTGGAGGGAGAAAATGTCGATATTTTATGAAGAGGAAGATATAGGTCATTGGGAAAAGAGCGAGTGTTAAGAGATTGGATAGAGGATTTAAACTGAAGTCGCTTTAAATATAGTGAAGTCGACGAGAGACTCTAGACATTCGTCGAGGGGGAGTTGCATAAAATAAATTTGACACAATTCATCAGTCTTTTCAGATGCGCTTCTTGTTCCGCCGAAAGTCCACCATAAGTGACTCAGCTGTAGCCGAAGAGGGATAAATGAGGGAGGAGATAAGCAGTTATGAGAGGTGCGAGGTAGAAGGAGCCTGGACTGGCAGAATTGATTGAGGGATCCAATACAGCGTCGGGAAATTTGGGAAATGTGTGGTTTCCAGGACAGATTTCAGTCGAAGATCACCGAGGCTTTTAACAGTGGAGAAGAAGGAGATAGGGTGGTTGTTGATGGTGAAAAGAGGGATGATGGGGGATATAATGGTTTTCTACCATTTAATTTTATGTGACCATTCGCTTATGGAATTCAGATCTCTCTGAATTCTGGGAATAACTAAATGTACATCGGAGGGATGGAAGGACTCATAAATTTGGAAGACGTCATAATAAAAGTGGTAATCGCAGTGCTGAATTGATATATGTATATTTACATTATAATATTTAATATACATATATTATATGTATATTACAATATATGGATGTTAAAGTTATCAGTAGCGGAAGTAAGACGAGCTTTAGTTTTTAAGTTTGATGGTTGTAAGTAGTAAGTAGTATAAGATTGGTAAGTAGTAACCAACAATTATATTGGAAGTGGTGGCACAATAGAACTGGTAGTAGAATATAACCACTACTGGCAGTGACTTTAGGTGTAGTAAATCCTGTTGGTTTTGGTTGTGTGAGGTGCTTTATCAACGTCACCCTATCCCCCCATCGTCCTGATCATTTTTAAAGATGAAAAAAATTTACATACTATTTACAGATTAAAAAATAATAGGAATTAAACGCTCTGCTGCCAGTTTTTGTCACCCTCTCCCCACGGGTTTTCAACAAGCGGTGGTAGAAGTAAAGAGTAGATAAAAGATTAAGTAAAAAATAAAAAGATAAAAAACAATCTTCGGTTACAACAAATTATAATTTAAATTTAAATTTTAATAATCCCTCCACTAATTAAACAAGCAATATTAGCTAAATTAAACGTATACCTTTGGCGTTCCTTAAATTTTGTTTTCCAAATCTCATTGACTCGAGTTGCAAACATTATCTTGTACGATTACTATCGGCAAATATTCGGAAAAGAAATGTTTTGCTTTAAAGGAATCTTATAAGCAAGAATAATTTAGTATTTTTGTATGAGAAAAAATGGCCTTCCGTGAAATACAGAAAGAAATAATTCATTGACCTTCTTACGTTGACCGCCATAATCATAGTGAAATAAGAGCTAGAAAGATTAGAATTGTATATTTTAACAATATACCACTATCAAATTCTTCGCACAATAAACAGGAGGTGTTGGCCGAGTAAGATAAATATAATCTCGTCAGAAAAATCTTAATTGCCAGGACCATAAATCCGTTCGTATGCGTTTCTCCCTGGGCAGTAAATTGTTCAAGTTGCTATCAGATATGTAACCCGTATCAAGGCCTCACGTGTCCTCGGAAAGGTTTTCACCCGCTCTTATAAATATCTTGTAACTAGTTTTTACAAGTCCTTTCGAAATCTCATTCCCAAAGTTGTGAGAGTGTGCTCCCAAAGGGTCGGCGGAAGGCGTAGGGCCGGCCGTGACACCACACTATTGACGCCGTTCTCGGGGATTCGGGCAAACTTTAAATTGAACAGCGGATTGATTGAACAGGGAAGGCCAACGCCTTAACCATAAGCATCGACATCTCTTTCTCCCTTTTCGTTTCTATTCTCGAAGCGGTAGCAAGAAAAAACCGTGGACAAAGGGAGCTTTTCGAGATTGCTTCTCTCTTTCGGTTTATGGATTCATATATCAATATGGCAAGTATTCAGCTCCAATCATTAAACGATACCAAATCAAAAATTCATCTAATGACATGCATATAAGAAGAGAAATGTACCTGTGAGGTAGCGCACAGATATACATATAAAGATGGGGCTTTTACCAAGGTAAATTGTACAAAGAAAATCTATGTATAGTGAATAATAATTTGTTGAAGTAGTATGGAGTGGTCAAGAATGAAGTATTTTAGAAAAAAACCTTTTTGATTTTTTAATGAATAATAATAATAATAATAATTGGGAACTTAATTGTTACTCACTAAATGGAGAGAGAGAAAGAGAGAGAGAGAGAGAGAGACAGAGAGAGAACTAAACTGTACTAAATTTTATAATTTTATGTGTACAAATTTGGAACCATAGAGTCCTCTCTTTCAATTATGCGCACAACATTAGGTGCGACTATATTATATGAGTTTTCATTTTATATAGTAGTATAATTACTATAATAGCATTATAGTATAAATTACTTTTTAATTGGTATGATAACATTTCTTTTTTAATTAAATTCAATAATTTAGAAATAACATACATAAAAAATAATCTTATAAACTAAAATTCAATATTACTTATAAAAACATGAATATTATCATTATATAAGTAATCAAATTTCTATTTTAAACCAAGGGGAATTATTTTTATTTATTATCATTTTTATTTATAATAATTTACCATTTATTTTTTATGTTTATTGATCATTTTATTGCAAAAAAATTAATATTTTTATTGTATTGACAATGTAATTAACTTTTTTTTAAACTTAATTCAATCTTTTCATTTAGGTTTTTGTTAACAATATGTATTCTCAGACCTAAACACAAATATTCAAACACCATCATTTCATAATTAACATTTCTTTTTTGTTCAATTAAATTCCGTCGTCGTAAGTTGTTACAATTCTATCAATTTTATCATTATTATTATTATTATTATTAATAGTAAAAACATTTTTGCTTCTAATGATTTAAGCATTTTTTTAAATATTATAGTAGACAATTTTTGAATATGTTTCATGATTAATTAAAAAACATAATGTATATATACATATTTTTTATGTGAATTAGTTTTTTCTTTTTAAATATTTTTATTATAACAGTAAATTTACTTTTGGATTATCTGGAAATCGTGAGATGCGGTCCGATGTGTCGTAGGTTTCAGAAAAACATTTTCTTTATCGTGCCAAGGTTTCGATCTTTATTGAGATCATCTTCAGGGCTCAAAGTGTTTTCTGCGTAATTGTGCAATTCTTGCGTGTCGTGTTTAGAGTGGCACTTTAAAGAAAATGTTTTTTGAAATCTACGTCAAATCAGACCGCATCTCACATCTCCAAATAGAGAGAATAGAGATAGAGAGAATAGAGTGTAATGTAATATTTGTAAATTAATTTCAATAATACATTATTAATGGAGGGAAAGATAGATAGATAGATAGATAGATAGATAGATAGATAGATAGATAGAGAGAGAGAGAGAGAGAGAGAGAGAGAGAGAGAGAGAGAGTAGAGAAAGAAAAATAAAAGAATGTACTTAAGAAAAGCTTTTCAATTAACTAATCTTTTTGGTTCAGATAAATAAATTAATAAAGTCAAACCGGTAGGAATGAGCTGAAATATCGTAATTTTGTTGTAAAACTGTAGCGATCTGTTGGTATGTTGTTCACAAGTTTCATAATTCATGAAACGTGGTTTTTGGATAGATAATTGGCTCTATAAGCTTTCTGATTACTGATTTGTATAAGCTCAGCGTGGCACTTTCATGTACACTTGAACAAAGCTGAATATCATTCCATTTCTCGGCAATTCTATGTTTTGTGTATCGTAAATCATAACGATATCGTATTGACATCAGCTCAGTCTCCTGTCTCACAGTACCAAAAACAGCCAATTTTTGAGGGCATGGAGTTTCATGATATCGCAGACCTGAAAAGAATACACTACTCAATTATATTATAAAATCATCGGGATGTGAGGATTGTCAAAACTTGTAGTAGTTTTAATTATGAAATTAAAGCTTTTGTTTTATTAAAATTGCCAATTCAAAACAATTCCTCGATCTTTCTTAACACAACAATTTTCATTTCGATCTATTTTAAGGTCGTCATCAGAGCAAACAATCTTAAAGATGTTTACAAGTTGACATATGGTTTTAGTATTCAAACCACTGTCGTTTTATTGTTTGTGAATATCATTGATTTCTATTAATTATGTCTAGAGAAAGGTTATAAGATGAGGTTTGTTAAATATATTAATGATGTGTTACAGAAAAATCTGTTTTTTGATCGACTCATCTGTATTCGCTTACAAGACCATCAAATCTCATGTTCACCATCTCTCAGACCTCAATAAAATATAACTAAATATATGTTTTACTGCATTTCACATTCATTATTATTATTTATTTAGAAA